TGTTCCCCATGGCTTTCTCAGTCTGCTTTCTCATAGAACCCAGGGCCACCAGCCTAGGGATGGCACCACCCACAATGGGTTGGGCCCTCTCCCATCAATCACTAATTAAGAAATGCCCTACAGCTGAATCTTATGGAAGCAGTTTCTCAAATGAGGTTCCCTTTTTTCATATGACTCTAGCTTGTGTCAAGTTGACGTAAAACTAGCCGGGACAGAGGGTCATCCCCAATAGTGCTAGAGCATGGCACTGTCTAGGTCTGAATGGTGCTGGCTGGCACACTGCACAGAGGCATTCTTGAATTAAGCTTATGGGTTTTTCTTCTCATTTATAAATTCCCAAAGAACGTCTGAGATGGAGGGAATACAGCCACATGGAGCAGTCACCATGAGAATCCTAGCCAACTGTTTATGCAGCCACAGGTGCATCATGACCTGATGAGGCTGTTCTCTCTGTATCTCTTCAGCTTGAAGATGGGATACCATTGTGCAAGTCCGACCTTATAGCTTGTTGGGTAAGGTACCCAGTTCTGCATGGGTAATTTAAATGACCCGAGTTCAGCCCTTCCCCACCAATATCCTTACAACTCCCAATGGAGATGAGTAACAGGGTCATGCTGCCACGTGGTCTTGACCCATGTCCCCAGTCTTCTCCAGAGATATGGGAGAAATTGTGTAAAAGCTTCCTGGGAGGGTCACCCGGGAGGACACAAGCTCTTCACATGCATAGTCACAGCTGCAAGCTTGGAACCCCATGTTCCACCACCACCACCACCCCGCATGCAGCAGACTTGGTGATCAGCCTCATCTGTACACTCAAGGGGAGTGGGAAGATAAAGAACCAAGACAGGAAGTAGCTGAAGATCATCCTGCATGCTCAGTATTTGGCTGGGCTTGGATGGGTGGGGTTCTCACCGGTGAATGGACACCCTAGAAGAAGAGCCTGGTACAGCTACAGTCTCAGTAGGAAAGCAGAAGCAGGGCCCCTAGATCAAAGCTGGCATGGGGTATATTTGTGTGGGAAAATATGAAAGAGGTCACACCAAAGCTCAACTGCTGGTAACGATGAGGCCAGTGTACTCCAGGACCTCACATGTGCCCCATATGAGCTCTATGGGCACAATGGATAAAGAAAGCTAGTATTAAACTGAGATGTGTCTACGTGGTGGTTTGAAAGAAAATGACCCCCAAAGAGAGTGGCACTATTAAGAAGTATGTCACTGTGGGGGGTGGGCTCAAGGCATGCCCAGTGAGACAGACCACTTCCTGCAAGTCTAGATGTAGGATTTTCAGCTACTTCTCCAGCACCCGTCTGCCTGCATGCCACCATGCCACACCATGATAATGGACTAAACCTCCACTCCAATTAAATATTTTTCCTTTGTAAGAGTTGTTGTGGTCATGGTGTCTCTTCACAGCAATGGAAACCCTATCTAAGACAGGCTACAATGAACGCAGAGGGCTACACTGCTCAGAGACCCTCATGGTTTCTCTTCCTTTCCCTCCTCCTGACTCCATCACAAAGAATTATAAAGCACAAAAGTGACTGGCCTGAAGCCAGACTGTAGCTCCATTGTTTTCCTGGCAATCATGGACCAGAACACTGTGCTAGGGCAGGGAGGGGAGGAGAATCTGAGGCAAGTTGGATATTGAGTTGTATGGTTGCTTGGAACTAAGCTTGTAAGTAGTTGAAGTGACCAGAACATCATGGAAATCCCTGGCTATCATTAAGGAACCCACTACACAATGGCAGATGATTCAATAGGGTGGGGATCAAACTAATGATTACAGAAGACACAGAAGTTTCACATGCATACCACAGGGATTCTTCAGCTAACTACTCTCCAGTGTTACCTGAGCCTGCTTTACCCCTCCAACTTCTCTTCTCCTGCCCACACTATGAGGGTGGTGGGGTTCCTACAGGGTTTGAGAGACAGCCTCTAAGTGGGGTGCTGAATTCTCACAGAAGGGACATGTGTGCATTCACCTTCCCACTTTGCTGAGAAGGGAAAATGGTAGTTGTCATGAACACATTTAACCTGTCAAAAGTCATGGGCAAAATGCACTGTGTAAGATTGAATAAGAAAGTGGCTTTATTACTAAACAGTGTAAGCATTGCACCTTTAAAATCACACTAGGGTAATCTACAATACTTCTGACTTTATTTCTTCACTGCTGTGGAGTTGGATGGGGTCCCGTGATTTTCTTTAGTCACCGGAACATGAGCAATGTGACTACAAAGGTTAGTTTTTGTCAACTTGACACAAATCTAGAACATATCTTGGCAGAGGGAATGCCAATTGAGTAATTGCCTCCACCAGATTGGCAAATCCGTGGGAGCATTTTCTTGACTGATGATTGATTTAGGAGGGCCCAGCCCACTGAAGGTGCCACCCCTGAGTCGATGGTCCTGGCTGTATAAGAAAAATAGCTGAACATGCCGGGAGAATGGAGCCAGAAGTACTGTTCCTTGGTGGTTTCTGTCTCTTCTGCTGAGTTCTTGCCCCCAATTCCCACAATGATAAACTGTAATTGGAACATGTAATCCAAATAAACTCTTTCTTCCCAAGGTTGGTTTTAAGCGTGGTTTCATCAACGCAATAGAAAGTGAACTAAAACAGTGATATATGCCACTTCCGGATACATAGCAGAGTGCAATCACCATGCCCCTCTTTCTCCGCTTCCACTATCACGAAGGATGGAGTCTCCTTGACCTGGATCCCTGTATGAGGACAGTATAAAGAAGTGTCCCATCTGACACTAGGTTGTCCCTTGTGTTTTAGCCACAGAAGTCATGAGGAGTACATGCTATTGAAGCTTATCCTTGTCTCTTCTGAGTTATGTTAGCAGTCTGATAACTACCTACCATCTTACAGACAGGCTATGCCCCAGTGTGCAGAACACCCTTCTATCAAGTGTGTAGATTATTCAGGGATGGCCTTGAGTTTGGGGACATGCCTGGCTTACCACGTACAGGATCATCAACCATTAACTAAAATCAATAGTCCATTTAAGAGAATATGGGCAAAAGGGCTTTTGTGGAAATTCTATTAAGAGGGGAATGGTACAGGGCAAATCAGAGTGCTGAGACTACAATGTTAAGGTGGCTGTTAGAGGTGGAAGCACCAGGAATCATTCAGATTGATCTACCTGTGTTGACAAGAGACATATGGCGGGCATACCCAGGCCAGGAAGTCAGTAGTAGACAGGATGTGATCAAGGTCAGGGCCTTCTTGGCATGCCATGAAAGTCGCAGGAGAGTAACAGAAATGCACGCTGAAGGGTCAAAGGGCTTGGTGGTACTTCATGAAAATCTCACTTCCCCTGTCCCCACTGTGCAGCAAGACAAGGTCAAGGCTCATAGGAAAGACCTGAACCTCCTTAGTGGCATATTCATGATCTTCCAGGTCAGTTAGAACTTTGGGGATAAATGGCCAGAAAGCTAACTTAGCTATCTCTGAATTGTTTGTTGTTCTGATTTTTGTATGTCTCTGTCCATCCATCCATCCATCCATCTTTCTACAAAGGTGTTAAGGCTGTCAGATTCCACACCCTTGGGAAGCAAGGATTATCTCTGGGAACCCCAGGGACCTGGAAACCCCATCCTCTGTCAGAACTCAGTGGTCCTGAAAAAAATGGGCAGCCCCAGAGACCTCTAGACCTTCCCGCTGAATATGTCTCCATGTTCCCCTCTTGTGGACATGGAGCATAGCTCTGAGCCCTGAGGTGAGACAAAAACAGAATGGATCTATCTTGTCCCTTTGCCTTGACTCTTGAGCCAACTGTCTTGGAGAAAGCAGAGGAGCAGGGGGTGGGAGTGGGCATCCACCCCCCCCCTGGAGCTCAGATCTGCCCCTTTCTACCCCAGGCTGGCTCTCTGTCAGATCAACTCTGAATTCTCCAGGAGTTCCTGCATAGGAAGTGCTGGCCTGTGGCAGTCCTTAGCATAATAATGGCTTTAGTAAGACCATCAGCTGCTCAGAGTGAAAACATCTCCCAGGGGTGCATCCCAGGCCCAAGGGGTACAGGAAGCAGGACCTGCCACTCTGATGCCCCCAGGAAGCAGTGAGGCGGCCTGAGTCGCTGAGTTATGTCTTCGCCTATGACAGCGCATGTGACACAGCAGACACAGTGTCTGCTACATGAGTGTACAGCTATCCCCATTGCCCTGAATCTGGGAGGAGCTGGATAGGGTACCGGATGATGAAGGATTGTGTGCAAGTCAAGAGCTCAGATCCTTTTCCAAGGAAGCCTAGCAGGAGGAAGGGTTAGGGTGGGGGGCTTCAAGGGAAATTATCTTCTGTATATCCACAGAGGACGGAGGCCCAAAGTGCAGCCAAAAGAATCTGGAAAAGCTATTAAAGTAGGTTATTACAAAGGTTATTTCCAAGGACAACCTTGCATGGAGAGAGTGAAAGGAAAAAAAACCCCACTCATGGGAGAACCAGGCACATGGCCCCTATCCTGGCCCTAGACACGTCATCAACCACTATCCCAAAGCCCTCTGCTCTGAGGGTGGACCAGCTACCTCTATGTATCCACACAGAACTGTGATGTAGACTGCACAAACCCTATTGCTTTCCACATGCATTCCAACCCAGGGTCCAGATCATAATCAACTCAGCCATGCCCACCACACTGAAGCCACAGAGCACACTTGCCTGGGATCCTGGCCCCACCCCAAGCTCCTCCTGCTACATTCCAGTTGTAGCTTAAGGGAAAGCCCCCAGAATGAGGGTACTTTGGGGGCATCTGCAAGGGTGAAGGTAAGAGGGAGAATTAAAATACACACACTGGCAGGCAAGGGCCAAGAGGCCCAGTGGCATCTTCACATAGAGCACACACCACCCCGGCCACCGGGCTCCCTGCTGATGTCCCACGAACAGCAACCTAGCCTTGCCAGGATTGGAGCCTGAGCACCTGGGCCAGGAACACCATGAAACCTTCTAGGAAACAGGGCTTTTCCTTCAGAAGAGGCCACCCAGAGAAAGAGGCACCAGCTGCCAAGTTTACCCATTTTTTATTTTTTATAAAACAAGCTACAAACATGTTTCTTCTCTCCCTCCCTCCCAAGGGAAACCCACACAGCACAGCCTGCAGCCATCTGTGAGAGAAAGGGTGGCTGGATAGGTTTTGAGCTCCTGTGTGGAGGTGACTTCTCTGTGTACATTTGCTTTAGGCCAGGAAACGGGGCTGGAGTCTGCTGTGAGGGGCATCAGCTCCAATCCCAGCACATTGTGTTTTGTTGTTGGCCAAGGCTCCAAGAAAGGACTTCCTCTGCACCATGTCAGGACAGGGCCACTGGTCATCATGTATGACTCTCTGCAGAACAGCAGGAACCTTCTGTAGCCAAAACTTCAATCAAGTCCCAAGAAGGCTGTGTGCCCCACACCTGGGCAGCATGTACGAGGCCAATGTCTTCCGGACCCAAGATAGAATAGGATTTACCAAGGTGGATGTGCTTCCGGGATACTGAGATGGAAAAGCAGACAAGGGCAGATTGCCCAGGGCAAGCCAGCCAGAGAACCCGTCCTGAGCTCCTGACCCCTCACTGCCACCATGGCTGACTATGGAAACAGCTGCTAAGTGTCACTCGCTGCTCTGACTGAAGGCCATCTGAATCAGCATGGCACCGAGACAGAAGAAGCTGCTTGTCTGTCCTGAAGGCTGGATGGCCACTCTGCAATCCGGGTGACAACCTGTGCAAAAACCTAGATTCTCCTGTAGCTGGATAACTCCTCCTACTCCTCCTGGGAAAGCAGAAGTAAGGGACACCACATGAATTCCACTCCTAGAATTGGTCCATAGGCCTGGAAGTCCATGAGAAAAGTTGGATAAATCAGAGGACTAACTCCAGTTTGGGGGGCTTGACCCAATCGGTGAGGATGAGGGTGAGAGACGGCGGGAGAGCACGGAAGTAAAGTCCAGTCTGATGCTACTGTTGGGTGAGACACCCTGTGGAGCCTCTCCTGTGGGTTTGCGGAAGGGCTGGTGCGGGCCTGCCACCTTCACGTTTCTGTCAGATGCCAAACACCTGCTGAAGGAGAGTCCTGCTGGTGTCCTTCCCTCACACGCTCTGTGTGTCCCCTCTGGTGTCCTACGTGTGGCAGGTGCTGAACATGGGTGGAAATGTTTAGAGTAACCTAATTCAGCCCCTTCAAGCATAATTTGCTCCGTTATTTGTCCTAGCCTGCCAAGGGATCTGGATAGTAGGGGCACGTGGGCCACTGCAGAATTTTGGAGTTCATGCTGGCCACCACCCTACCAATGGCCACGCGATTAGACTTTGACAGCTAATGGCATGGGACAGTACACTCTGCCCACCGGAAGAGAGCTGATGGGTCCACAGCACAAACACGGAGCCCCCATCCGCTCTCATACAGAGTCCATCTTCAGTGAAACCCAGGTAAGCTAAGGATGCCATCTGAGAAGCCTGGACTGAGGGTCCAGAGGAAGGAGAGGGGAGGGAGGGAGGGGGCAAATAGTAATGCCAATGCCTGTACAAAAGAACTATACAATTTACATATATATTTATATACAGTATATAAATCTCTTTCCTCTCAATCCCAGTAGCACCCCCCTCCCCAATAACCTAAAAGTTGTCAGTAGCAGATCCAAAAACTTAACATTAAAAGAGAGAATAAATCGCTTTCTTCCCTTTCCTGCCCCCGCTGTGGTATTAGATAACTGGTGTTTACAAATGAAACCAGAAACAAAACACACACATTAAGAGTTATTAAAAGTGCAAACATGGCGGGCACCACTTGTGTTACATGGGCTGCAGCTGGGCGTGGGCAGTGCTGAAGGCTCGGTGTCTAAAGGTCGGTCCTGTCTCCTTGGACTCTCCACTGGCCCTCTGATCTTCTGCTCCTTAGACAAGGCGTCCAACTAGGAGGGGAAAGGAAGAGTCAAAAAAGAAAAGTGATGTAAGCAGAGCTTAGAGCTGAGTGTACGAAACATTCAGCTACGTTGTGAGTTTCTGCATGAGGACAGCCTTTGCACGCTGGATACGGACTGGGTGTGGCAGAGATCTCCTCGGTGTTCTGACCTGTATGTCAGCTCGCAGTGTCTGGAGTCGGTTTGGAATTGCAAAAACCGTGACTCTGCCAGACAAGCACGTGGCGAGGGTGTGTCCTAACCAGATCACACTACGTCAGCCTGGAGGAAAGAGCAGGTATCTTCCACCACAGGTGGGGGTGGCAGAGTCCTTAGCACCACTGCCATCTTCCTCTTAAGCCCCCGCCAAACACCATGTGTGGACCCGTAAGTGATCTGACCAACTGCTTTACTGCTGTGCCACCACAGCCTCAGCAGGGTCCACAGAGGAAAAGGGAGGGGCCAGGAAGAAGACGACTTACTGAATGGGTTTGTGCCTGCACGTTTTCCCTGGGGGAAGCTGCCAAGGCTACCACCTGCAATAAATAGGAACATATGACATGGGAGTGGCCTTGACCCAGAGAGTTGGCAGAGCTTCTGAGCCCCCATCCCCTGTGCCTTCAGAAATGACGGGGGGGGGGGGGAGCTGGAGTGGCATGGCTGTGCTCCCTGTTGTGTGGGTGCCTGTCGCTGTGTTCTGCCTGGTAAGTCATTGTTGTCACTGCTTTTGTTGACACAGTCTTTCTCTGGCCATGAACTCGTATCGTATCGGCAGGCACCAATGGAAGACAGAATAAAGAGTTTTTCCTCACTTTCCTTTTCCCACTGTGGTACAGAGCCCTACATGAGATGCCTCTTGGGAATTCCCTCAGCTATTAACTACTAGGGCTTTAGTGGCTATTGCCGTAATCTTGGTTCTCGATCTCCGAGTCCAGTAATGTCAGAGGTAGGAGGGACCTTGGCCCCTTCACTTGCCAAATCTGGAGGCAAAGGCTCAGAGTGACTTACAGGAGGTCCAAGACCCAGGCTGTTAGCATCTACTGCTGTGTACAGGCTCCCGAGCGGCTCAGGAAACTGGCCATGGTGCTCTGTCAAGACCTGGTCTCCCAAAGGAGGAACACAGGAGCTGGGCCAGTTTCCTGTGTCTCTGAGCACGCCTGTGGGCCTCAGAGAATGGGAGCAAAAGATGGACTAGGATGACACCTGTGCTGCTTCTGCTCTGCCTCCCATGCAGGATTGCCCCCAAGGATCTGATGAATTCATGGAGGTTTGAGGGTTCAGCCCTGCTGAGCCTGAGCTTACCTATAGATCTTATGACCCCACAGCTCAGCGTCTCCCAACATCCCTTAAGACCCAAGAGAGACAAAATAAGGGTAGACGTTGGTACATCCAGGTTTTCAGATGAAGTCACAAATCGAGGACAATAAGAGGAGCAGTCCAAAGGCAGGCAAAAAGAAGAGCCAGGTTGCCTGACCTTAGCTTCCACATTTACTCTGCTCCACTCTGCAGCGGCTGCTCTCAGTGGTAAACACAGAGATCTGTACACAGAGAGAGGAGGCCTAAGGCAGTCCTGGCCCCTGCTTCATCAGTCGAGATGCACAAAACAAAGTGGAAAGCCAGGAGCACATCCCTACAGATTTATATTAAGGAGAAATGAAATCATCCCCATTTAATGAGGCTAAGAAGCCAAGAGGGCACCCATGCTCTGGACCTCAGAGGAAGAAGAGAAGCCCAAGCCCAAGCCCAAGGGAAAGCTGGTGCTCCTGAGCCACCAAGACCTAGTCCTCACACTGCTTGCCTTACAGGATGGCAACGATAATCCTGTGAGTGTGCTTTATGACTTGGAAAAGACAAGGTAATAACGAGGCCCAGGCTCCCAATGTCAGCAGGCTCTGCCATGATGGCGGGGACTCAGCTCTGCAGTGGGAGTTCTGGGAGGTGAAAGGAGTGGTGTTCATGTGGCGTCTCCAAAATTCTGGCCCCTCAAACCCCAAACTACATTCCTCTCCCCACCCGCCTTGGGCCCCACCTGGCATGCATGCCCCTCTCAGGCCACCAGAGGGCACCACACAATACCAGATGACCTGTGCTTGGGTTCCCACATACCACCCAGTCAAGTGGCTTTGTGCGCCTCCTCCCCAGAGGAGGCCAGGGGGTTGCCAGCAGCACCTCTGGCCCATAGGTAGATTCCTCTGCTCCCGACAGTTTCTGTGTGTTCACTGTGCAGCCGGACCCTGCCTCACCCCTCGCCTGCACTATCTTGCTAACTTCTCTTATCACACATCCAAGGCAGACATTACTACCTCTGTTTGGCAGAGAAGGAAACCGAAGTCCAGAGAGGTAACTTGTCAAATAACAGAGCCAGAATGAACAGAGCTGAAATTTAAGTCACGTCGACCTGACTTCAAGGCCTCTGTTCATATTCACATCCCTACTTCCATCAAGACAGTGGTCCTCACTCCTCCCTAGGTTGCTCCAAGGTCCCCCTGATGGCGCCATATGCTTGAAAGCCAGCTTCCTTGTCAGGGTACTGCCTGTGCTCACAGAGCCCTAAAACTACAACAGCACCCCACTGCCCTGGATTCTTCTCCAGCCACTCTCTTGGCTTGCCCAGGCCTTCTCTTCACTGTGGGGTCCTCATATAGAGTGCACAGAAGCTAGACTTTAAAGTCCTGTGGGTGAGGCTAGCACTGGCAACACGGCTGGGCTGCCTTGTGAGTGCAAATCACTGCCCCTCTGCCTAGTCCAGACTCTTCTAACGCAAAGCAACAGAAGTCTTTGGGCTCTAAACTCGTACAAGTAGTGTGTGCTGTGCTGTATGGGGGAATGGAGTGGAAGGAGGAGCCCCATCGGGCTCTGGCTTTCTGTCTACACAGCTCCCCACCCCAGCCGTAATGGTAACCCTACACCTCCTCTTCTTCCTAACTCAATGCTCTACTTCACCCCATCCCCCCCTCTTTCACACACACACACACACACACACACACACACACACACACACACACACGTGCAGAGATAGAGAGTGGGGAGGGAAGGAAGGAGGGAGAGGGAGGGGGAGATCATGTACACACATGTATAGCCGTGTATACATATACATTTTAAGTAGGGCATAAAGGACTGAAGAAATACCTCAGCCCTTAAGAGCACTTGCTACACTTGCAAGAGAACCCAGATTCATCCCAGCATCCACATGGTAGCTTACAACTGTCTGTAATTCCAGTTCCAACGGGGTCTCTTCTGACCTCCGCAGGCACCAGGCACATGAGTACATGGAGGGAAACACTCATGGGGGAGGCTCCCTGAGTTCAGTAGACCAAGTCAACACACTGTCCCTGCCTTGGGTGTTGCATGCACCAGAGCTCCCAACACAAAAGGGGATGCAATGGGACAGGGTCAGGCCTCAACAATCCTCACTCAGCTCCAAGTGTCCCTGGGCAGGCCTGAGATGAGCACTGGGCAGTGTCTTTCAAATATGGCCTTCCCAATCCAGTGACTCCTTGCCACGTATATGAAGTCCCCGACTTGAGTGAAGAGTTGTGTAGACTCCCCTTGCCTCTTGTCATTCTCCTGATGGTTGCTACAGTCCGGTAACAGAGTTCTAGTCCATCAACTATGACACATTATTTGCAGGTCACATAATTCTAAGACTGTCCCAGAGAATTGCCTCACATGGCCTAGCTTACTCTATACAATGGATGGGAATAAATCAGACCCCACAGTGGCCCCAAAGGCCCATTGATGAAGGCAGCTGGATCATTTTCAGTTCAACCCCTTGAGATATGTAGAACAGTCCCTAGTCTTGTTCTGTCTCCTACATATACATACCACATACAACACATGCGCGCGTGCGCACACACACACACACACACACACACACACACAGTCTGGAACTATGCTGTACTACTCCATGGACAAGATAAAAGATAAACGATTTCTGCTAAGCTGAGTTACGATGTGTGAGTTACCACAGTCTGGCCCATCTAACTAATGCACTCTCATAGCACTAATCACAAAGTATGTGAACAACTATCTATTTCATCTCCTCATAGACTGTGTAAGAATAAGAATCCTGTCAGTCAATTCTACAGCTGCAGTAGGCAGGTAGCCCTGAAGCATAGCCCGCTCCCAGCAAACAGCTGGCGAATACATGGATGTCTAGGACCCCATTCCTCAGGACAGCCCTTGATCCCTGTCCCTCGGTTGGGAAGGCATTCAGAGGCCAGACTCACAGGGGATAGAACTTACCTTCTTTGCTAACGCCCAAGCAGCCCTTCAGCTCAGGCAGTGAGATGACCTTGTCCTTGTTGAGGTCACAGTAGTCGGTGAAGCGCCGGGCGCATTTCTTGGGCTTGGCTTTCTTCTTTACGTAGCGCTTGAAGGGCTTCATCTCCCGCTTGTTGATGTCATCGCTGTTGTTGCTATCCAGCTGGCTGAAGTACCAGTGTGCCACTCGCTCCTCCAGGGTGTGGCTGGGATCTGGCTCCGAGAACCTGGGCCGTGGACAGACAACCCCACCCAGGAGACCACTCAGGATCTTCAGGAGCCGTCCACCCACTCTCTCCCAAATGGCCAGAAGCAGGGTACTTGCTACAGTTAAGCATTTGTCCCTGCCAACTTATACTGAAGTTACAATGTGTCTGTGTTGGGGAGTGAGGGTAAACCCTTGACAAGAGAATTAATTACCTTCTTAAGAGAGTGGGTCAGTTCTTACAGCAATGGGTTAGTTATCACAAGAGCAGGCTGCTGTTAAGCAGATATCTGCCCCCTCCCCGCTGCAAGTACTTCCTCCTGCTACTTTCCACATGAGTTAGTTGAAGCCGAAAGAGGCCCTCACCAGAAACCAAATCGATGCTGGCATGCCCCTGAACTCCCAGAACCGTGAACCAAAATAAACCTCTTTTCTTTATAAATTACCCAGCCTAGGGTATTTTGTTACAGCAACAGAGACCAAACCAGCTATCGGGCAGCGACAGCTCTTTCCTTAGGGGTCTCTAAGTGATCATTGCTTCATTGATCTGCCTGGAACAACCAGGACATTTCTTGTGCAGATAAGCACTCGAGACAAACTACACAGATTTAGTCCACCTAAGCAAACCATGTCCAGGATCTAAACTGTCCTTCTCTTGACCCACAGATCACTGTCAAACAGGATGCTTTCCTGAACTTGAGTATGAGACCCAGGGCCGGGACTGGAGATGCCAGCCTAGCCTCCAGATGTTCATCATCTCAGAGAAGCAGAGCCCAAAATATGAAGACTGTCGTATGGGATGTGTGGTGCCCCCATGATCTGTGGCTCTGTGCTAATGAGTGGAAGTTTGGGGCTCATGTCAGGAGTCATCCTTGATCACTCCCTCACTTTATTCATTGAGGCAGTCTCTCGATTGAAGGTGCGTCTCCCCTATATAGATGGTCCTGCTCTGTGCCTACCTTCTGAGTGCTAGAATTACAGGTATGCTCCCAGCATTTACATTAATCATTGAACCCTAAATCTATTCTCACAGTTGCTGTTTATACTTTGACTGCTGACCCATACCCTTCCTCTCCACTATCCCCATCCCTAGCTCCAGCTCCAAACAGATTCTAAAGCAAATAAACTCTAGACCTGCTGGGGTGAGTCTCTATAGCCTAAGGTTTCCACTCAGGAGGTCTGGGGTGGGTTTAGGAGATCATATGTTAACCAGAGCCCCAGCCAATTCTTAGAGAAATTAGTGTGACCAGGAATACACTTTGATGCCCAGTGATGACCACATCTGACATAGTCAATATCTCTGGATCACAAAGTTACAAGACCAGCATCTAAATGTAAAAGTACAAGCCATGGTCTGTTTCATTAATTATTTATATATTGACTTTACTCAGAGAAGTCAGAGTGATACTAATATCTACAATGTTTAAAACCAGAGATAGGTCAGTTGCAGAGGGGTTGGTTGGAGTTTCTGAACAGAAGAAAAGAAACGCATGAGTACCCTGGTTCTAATCCTGGGGCTTGACACTGACTTTGAGCTAGGAACCATATTCAAATGCCTGGGTAACTTGCCCTTGGGGAGAGAAATAAGGCTGTTATTGAGATCCTATACATTTCAAATGACCAGTGTGCAGGGTCTGTGACAAACCATTGATACAGTTCACTGGTGAGTAGGGCTCCTAGATCAAGTAATCAGGACTTGCTATCACACTCGGAAGACGCACCTGGTTTAAAAAATTGTTCAAGGCAGGGAGTGCCAGCCTACAATCCCATGGCCAGAGAGTCTGGGAAACAGAACCTTCATTCAGTGGCTGATGGAAGCAGAGGCAGACTCCCATGGCTAAGCACTGAGCTGAACTCAAGAAAGCCAGTAACAGAGAGGGAGGACTGATGACCAAAGGGGTTAAGACTGGGCTGGTTTAACCCCCCCAGAAACAGCTGACCTGACAAGGGTTAACTCTTGAATCCCAGGCTGATGCCTGGGAATCCAGCATGGGACTGATCAAGACCCCCTGAATGTGGGTGTCAGTGAGGAGGCCTAGGTAATCTATTGAGCCTTGGGCAGTAGATCAGTATTCATCCCGAGTATACACATGGACTTTGGACTCCCATCCAACAATGTGAGATGCACTCTCACCCTGAACTCTTGGGGGAGGGTCTGGGCCCTGCCCTGGATGAAATGACAGACTGTGGACACCCCCATGGAGGGCCTCACCCTCCCTGGGGAAATGAGGGGATATTGGGGGGGGGTTGGGGAGGAGGGGAGGGAAACGGAGAGGGACCTGGAACTGACTCGTGAAGCAACCTTGTTTCTAATCTAAATTTAAATTTAAAAATTAAAAAAAAAGTTCCATAAAAAAAAGATGTTCAAGGCACTTACGGATGTGATACCCCACACCCCTCTCAGGTTTGCTTTGCAGTCTAGAATGGAGGGGACCACTTCTCATCCTTGCCCTAGAACAAGCTGAAAACCCCATCTCGAGTCCCATCGACTCCCAAGGCACATGAGGCTTAAGCAAAAGGAAGCTGCATTCCAAAAAAAAAAAAAAAAAAAGCCAGTTCTCGAGGGCAACTGTCCAGTCCATTCTTAATGAGGTGGCTTCCGTCTTGGGTAAATCCCCAGGCATCCTGGATTCTAAGAAGGATGTCGGTAGGACCTCATCCTGACAGCTTCCACCCGGAGAGAACCTTAGGGAAGATGTGACAGGGCCACGCTGAGTTGTCACTGGCCTTTGACTGCTGGGGAATCTGCTTATTCTGCCATGGAAACCAGGTGCAGGGAGTCTGAAGCAGGCTGACATTCTCCATTCTCCGTGTCAAAGTGTAATTTTACCCTTTCTTTACTAGCTGCAGCACCCGCTCTCATGGCTGCCCCTGCAATACACACAGGGTGGGCAGGCCAAAACTCTGTAGGGACAGTAAGGTGCAGGAAGGGGGAAATCAGGGAGGCCCCAAGCTCTGGAGGAGACAAGAGCTCCCAAGGAAGGCCCTCTCAGAGGAGGCAGTCAGAGAGCAGTGAGTGCCCCAAGGCGAAGGCAGCTCTTCCTTTAACCTTTAGGCTTGGCATAGCGTCATGTCTACCTAAAGGCTGGAATAATAAAGTCTTGGTTGCTGAGACGGGGAAGGGATGAGGTCATCCCACCCAGAGGCCCTGCCAGGAGAGACTTTCTCCCTCCAACATGTGTTCCTGGAGGGCTCGTGTCTCCTGTCTGTTCTCTGTGCTCAGAGCTCTCCTTGCCTGCCTTCAGGGTTAGCACCAAGAAGCAGTTCTTCCTACCTCGCAAGCTCTGAGATGGCCAGGGGTGATCATCACTTCGGCCCAGTTCCTCCGCCCGCCCTCCTAGCTCTCCTCTGGCCCCTCCTTGCTCTCCCATCAAGACCTTCCCATGCAGAGCAGCTGGGCTAAAGACAGGACGCCTTTCAGGAGAGGCCTTCTGAGTTCCTGCCAACCCCCCTACCCACAGCCTACCCTGTGGGGACTAAAGGTTCTCCTCTGTCCCGACCCTTCCCCTCCATCCCAGCTATCACAGGCTCTGCTTTTGAACCCCTTTGATCTCCAGAAGTTCCCTTAAACAACAGAGCGTCAATTCTACCTCAAAGGGTGACAACAGGGTCATACTTGGAAACCCAACACCTTTACCAGAACAAACTCCAAGAACCTTTATACTTCTGACCTATCACCAGTCCTGCATAGCCAAACCAACACCGAACATGTGCAAGAGAAAACACCAGAGACCTCTGTGAAGTCAGCAGTTCTGAGATGTCCCCCCTGCAGGGCTGTGATCAGGTAGGGGTGAGGCAGAACATAGGGCCTCCCCCAGACTTTCCAGGAACCTCTCAATCCATCTTTGTCAGAGTCCCCAACATCACAGACTCCTGACCTTTATACCCTGACCTCAAAGTCGTGTCCCACAGGCTCCCCCAGTTCTCACAACTCTCTGAAAATACCCTTTTACATTTGTGTGTGTGTGTGTGTGTGTGTGTGTGTGTGTGTACATGTGTGAGGTTGCACATGCCACCACATACACATGGAAGTCTGAAGACAACCCAAGGGAGTCAGTTCTCTCCTTCCACCGTGTAGATTATTCTCGGGATCTAACCCGGGTCATCAGCGTGGTGGCGAGCCACCTTCACTCAAAGAGCCATCTTGATGGCTCATGGAAGGCATCGTTTTACAGACATCTGCAGCCGGTACCACAGCATAGGCTGACAGTGGCAAAAACTCAATCTTGCTCTCTCGTGTGCATGCTCACACACACATACACACACACACACATACACACACTCACACACCTACTGGGGACAAGAACTGCTAAGTTCAAAGTCCTTTAGACTGGAGCCAGGACCCTATGCTGGAGTGGCCAAGGGCTCCTTAAGATCAACTGTATTCACTTACGCCTATAAAGACCCCTTCATGGGTCAAGTTCTAAATTGGATACCTGGGTAGGTAGAATGACCAAGTTTTCTCAGATGTAATGTGGAAAAGCTACATCCAAATGATACCTCATTCTAGATTCAGGATATAATAATTCAGTGACTGTTCCTTTGGGCTATTTTAGTCACTTCTGCCTTCAGGGAGAGGGAAAGCCACCAGAGCCAGGTCCCTCCTTGAACAGACATACTCAGCCATCTCCCAGTTTTAGGGGTGGTGAAGGCCATCCTTCCACGGCACTTTCAGTTTTGATTCTGTGGCCTTGGCCATGGCAGGTTTTGGCTATAACACATAGCTGGAGAGCCAAGCCCATTTACCACAACTTGCTTTGGCCAAGATCTGGGTCCCAGTTCTGCTGTCCTAAGCAGTTTTGGAGAAGGTAAGGAAAACTGGCCAGGAGGCCTGAGCCAAGCCAAGCAGACCGACTGAGCCCCAACTGGAGTTGGGTCCAAGCCCCACCAGCTGTGCGGGTGGAGTTGGGAAACGCCAAGTCAGCCACATTCCAGACTCTTCCTTGCAAAGCATCAACAGGCAACCAACTGCAACGGACCAGGAGGATGGGGCCACTCCACTGGCAGACTCCCCTTAGGAAGCATGTGAATGAGTGGGAGACTCACTCAGACTGTGCCCTAGAGGCTGGCACCTAGGTAGATAGCAGTCCTTCTAGACCGACAGTCTAGCTGATGACTAACTGCTGATCCGAGGGAGAGTGTCGCCTTCTAGAGCTCTGGAGGAGGGAACCAAGGGTATAAGTTAATCATCCATCTGGCAAGGGTTCAGTGAGAAAAGGCTGTCATCTAAAGACATTTGAAGTGCCCGCACATGCTCCAGCCACAGATGTTTCCACAGACACCCAACTCTATATTGTCTGATTTTAGATTGGAGCAGCACTGGTTTTGGCCACTGAATCAGGCTAGGAGGCCAGAGAGCAAAGTTGGCACCTCCCTCTCTCCCTCTCCCTGCATCTACTCAGTCTTGAGAATCTATTTATTTCGTGCAGAATGCTTCAGTAAATCATCCCTGGCTACTGAGGTGTGCACCCATCGCCCTCTTGCTGACAACTGTTCCCCTGCCCCCTTTCTAACTTTGCCTGTTTTTGCATCCTAATGCCATCAGGATGGTCATTCAAAAGTGCTCTCAACCACCATGGCCCCTAATGTCTCTGGCATTGACTCAGTTGGCCCAGCAGAACCCGGGCTCTGTCCGGCTCTGCAGTGTCATCTCCTACCCGTCCACACCACACCCCAGACCTAACCATACCACTTTTGTCATTCCTCCCATTATGCCACCCTTGCTCATCTCATTGTCCACGTGCCCCTCTGCTGAGGAGCCCTCACTCACGGTACAACAGGGCTGGGCCTCCCTGTGTAAGTAAAAAGTCACCTCTACTGTCAGCTCTCCCTACCCCGAGCCCTGGAACCTCTCACCAGCCTCTGTGGTCACACTGGCTCTGTAGTAAAGTCTCCTGGGTATATACCTCTCCTCCTCCATGCCAGGGGTAAGGCCCTTTTCTTAGATGCCCCCAGGAAGAAGCACAGAGCTTATAGAAGGGCAGGCTGAGAAGTGAGAGTCAGTGCAAAGCCATGTGTGACAATCACCATGCCTGAGGAGTAGGGGAAGGGAATGATCAGCTTTCGACATTGCCCAAACATCCTCTCTCCCTCCCTCCCGCTGTCTCCATGTGGGACTGTTTCCCACTGCTGTCCATTCACGTACCTCTTTAATTGTTAAACCCTGAGAGGGAAAGGTTGGATGTGTTTTTTTTTTAACCCTCCTGCCTGCAATCCCAGCTCTCAATTCCAAACCCAAGTCCAACCCCGTGAAACTCTGCATATCCTGATTCTCTTCATCAGTCCTATTCCAGATCTACTGCCCAATCTCCAGGAGGTCCATGACCCAGTCCCTCCATCACAGAAGTGGCTGGTGAGCATCTGTCTATACAGCATCCTGAGTCCATCAGAGCGAGGCAGAGAGCTGGAGGGCCCTGCTTACAAAAGAATCACAACAAACTTCCCTGTTGCATTCATCCTTCCATTAAGTCTTGCAATAATCACTGGGCTGTCAGCTCACCCCTCTGTCTACATATCTACCATCCTCATATCTACGCACTCATCAGCATGTGTTGAATGTCTACTGTGGGATCTAAATTCCAGGAACACAGCAAGGAAGGACTCTGAGAAGACAGTCTAACCCTATGCCAGACAGTCACCAGAAAAGGAGTAATGGCATTCTAGACTGAAGGGGCAGCTGGTGTGGGGTCCCAGGTCAACCAGAGTAACCTGTGGAAGGAAGCCAGTGACTGGAACATGATGGTAGAAGGGAAAGGAGAGAGCAAGAGGCCAGCAGGACCTTCCTGAGGGCTGTTCAGATACAAGTCAGGGGAGATCCAGGAGAGCCCAGGAAGCCTGGCAACCCTGGCACCTCCCATACAATGCTTCCCACTTTCTCTCCTTCACTCCACTCTCTTGCCTGATTTCTAAACTATTTCTTGGTCTATCTTGTCTTCCTGTTGATTAAAAGTCCAGCCCTTGGGTAACACATATACCCAAAACCAAGTATGGTCAAGCTAATAAAAGTTTAAAATGAATGTTTTGGGAAGTATTTTTTTAACTTCCCTGATCCTAAATTACAACAGAAAAAAAGGAGTTATTTTTTCAAGTCCTTCCCTAAGGATACACTTGTATGAAAGACATTATAAATTTCCTAGTTTTTATTGCCTATGAAAATCTCTTTGTCCTGTGACATGAAAGCACCAATCCTAACTTTCCTTGGTGTCAGGGCCTGTCTATGATCCCCTTCCTATGGGGGCTAGGGGGGAGGAGTGCTAATATCTTGTCTCTACAGGACCAAGGCAGAACTTGCAGCCAGAACCCCTTAGATGGTGGATGGGCCCACCCAAATATGAGATTTCTGTGCCCACGCCTCCTCCTTATTTATGTTTTTCTCCCTTTTTTTCTAAACAACATAAAAACAGTAGTTCTGCCTTCCACATTCTAAGATTCCCATGAATGCTTGAAACTACTAATAATATAGAAGTCTAAATGCACTGTTTTCCCTAAGATACATACCTGATAAAGCTTAATTTACAAATGAAGAATGTGTACACATTAAGCTTAATAATAAGATCATTATAGCAAAGCATTACCATAAAGATTATCATAAGCTTATAAATTGCTTTCTTTCTAGAATTTTCCAGCTAACTGTTTTGGTCTGTAGTTGGTTGTGAACAACTGAAACCACGAAAAGTGATACAAAGGACAAAATGGGGTTATTGCACATTTTCATCAAATGTCTGTTGCTGAGCAAGCTCCGGGCAACTGCATGTGGCAACATGCATTTGCAACACTCACCCTTCCCTCTTCCTGACGCCTGGGTGTACCCCCTCTGCTTCAGATGCTGAGCTGCTGAGCATGGTAGGAAGCCTCCAAGCAGCTCTCGTGCATGGCCTATCAGACCCTGTCTCCTTTTTGCTCAGATTTTGTGTTGTACTCCCTTAGAGGGAGGGAGGCCTGGGCGACATGCCCCAGTTAAGAGGAAACAGCCATGACCAGAAACCGGCCTTGAGCTCATGGAACCCTGAAGTGCTCAGATTAGACATTCAAACAAGTATTTTAAAATATTACCCCACTGCATGCGCATAGTACATTTCTTGATTAACTAATCCTTTGATGGAATTTAGATTATTACACAGAGTTACAGACAGCTAGGAGTGCTAGAATTCTGACACACTTAAATAGAATTCTCAACCTGGCTGACTTTATCCAGCTGCAAAACCATTACAGCTGTGCTCGTGGTCCAAGTCCCCATCCTAAGCCCCAGTCAGTCCCTTCGAAGAGGACTGGAGCCCTAGACCTGTCTACTCACTGTCATTCTTTGCAGTAGCTTTGCTTCCAGGGGATGCTGGGGAATAAGGTGCCCTTTGGTGAGCCACACAAGCCCAGAGCAGGCTGCCCATCTCATGCCCTGGAACCCCTCCTGCTGCTTTAAGGAACCTAACACCCTCACCTCCCTGCCCTGATGCCTCCAGCCCCTGCTATGCCTTCTCTCTGGCTTTACAACTGCAAGTCTTAGCATGTCTCACAGACCCTTGAGACCAGGATCCGACGCTCCTCTTCCATCTCTTCATCCCCTCATCTTCCCCCAACCCTACCATGCTAAACTACACTTACCATACATTATACATTTCTAATGTCTGTCTATGGTCTTGTATACCCACTCATTTTCCTTCTTTAAGGGGAGGGACATGACTCCTATCCCTGGATACCTTGTCCTTAGTCAAGGACTTGACATATTGGATGTATTCAAAGGATGCTCAGATGAGCTGTGCACACATGATGGATGTTCCAACCACTGACATAATGGGCCCAAATCAGTTGGCTCCAGGAGCCTGGCCACCAGACAACGTGTATATTTCAGCCCTGTGACTACTCTAGCTACCTTATTAACTTCTGAAACAAGTCCGCTTTGCCTATGAAAAGATGAGATTCTACTGTTCACAGCTCTTTGTGATTGCCAGGAGGCCAAAGGGACACATGGCTCCTGACTTCTCAGGAGAGAAAGGAAATCACTAAACGCCTGTGGTCTTCCCTGCTCTGCCTGGGTGCCCTGCCCTCATCAGGTGCCCACCACCCTTCCCGCCATTAAGGATTTCAGTCCTGGGGTGTATCTCAGGGAGAATGCTTGCCTGGCATGTGTGAGGCTCTGGATTCAATCCCCAGTACTGTGGGAAAGACTCTCACTTTTACATCCCCCTTTTGGGTAAAGTAGCCATAAGTTTTCCAATAGGCCTGCAAACCCTGCTGCCAAAACTAGAGGAAAACAGATCAAAATTTTCGGAGACCAGGAAGCAGAGAAATTTTCACCAACAAGAAGAACAAAGCTGTGGGCATATGCTCTGGAGAAGGACAGACTTCCAGACCTTGGCCTCTCTCCAGCCTCCCTTGTATCTGAGGAGTCCAGGACTACACTGTACTGCACCTGAGTCTGGCTCACATTCTCACCTCCCACCTCCAGAGGGCGCTGCTGAGTTAATGGCCTGAACCATGTCTGTAGTGAGGGCATCCAGCAAGCTGGTAATAAATTCCATCTTCTTCCCTTCGGGACAGCCTAAAAGACAAGAGGATACTTGAAGGCAGAATCCAGGTCACTTACCAAGGCAACAGCTTCCTCGACTACCATCCCCTCAAAGTCTGTCCAGCCAAAGACTGGAAAGAGTCTACAATTCAGGTACCGTGTATCTCCTCCATCATTCCCCTTTGCATAATCCACTGTGAAGCACCAGACCAAAAGGCTCAGAATGCTTCAGCTTCCTTCCAGTCCTGCTGAGTACCAAAGCAGGCACTATAGAAACGCTAGGGAGACAGCAGATGAGGTCCCCATCCTCAGACTTCACAATAATTTATTGGGCCAATGTACGCAAGATAATAACCAGACAGGCACTGTTCATATGAAAAACGCTGCTCAAGGGGCAGGAACCAGATGTTGAGGAAGCACCAAGGAGGGAGAGAATCCCCACGGTGCAAGCTGGTGTGAGTGGGCCTATCATAAAGCTCCTCTTTCTGCTCATCTTTTCACAGCTGAGATGATAACTGAGGACTCCCCCATGAAATCCCACAAGTTCTTATTCTTGTCTCACTATTTCAGCAAAAGCCCAAGCATGGGTAAGCCCGTCACAGGTGTGCCTGTCCTGGCTCCAGGCATTGCTGGGGAAACATCCCCTACCACTGCAGAGATGGGAGCCCTGCTCACTCGCACCAAGGGGGCCCTCAGCACAGCTGCAACCCCACCCCTACCCATGCAGCAGCTACGCCCTTCTCCCTCCGAAGCCTGAGGTCTCAAGTTAAATATCACCTCTCAGAGCAGTGTAGACTCTAAAGTAAGTTCTTACTGTTGTTCTCACAGTGCCACACCCTTCTTTTGAGGGTACATGTCCTAAATCCACACATACCAGGCCTTCCTGTATCTTCATATGGCTTGTCTCCCCTACCCTCATGTCCCTGAGCACTAGATTAAACCATATCTGGCATGAAGTAGAATAGCTATTCCCATTCTATTGAGGGTGGCTAGAAGAAGGCATCCTGGCTTCCTTGCCTCCAATTTCATGACACAGTGATTTCTACTAATCTCACAAGGAAAGTACCGGACTTGTGGGACTGCCTGCTTTCAGTTCTCACTTTGGAGTCCTGATGGGCAACAGGAAGATAGCACCAGTTCTCATCAGTACAGACCTAATTTTCCGAGTAAAGACTGTTAGTGAGCACCAGCTTAGATGGCTCACAGCTCCGCAGAGGCATGGGGGTGCCTCTCCAGCAATGATTCTCTACATGAGTGTAGATCTAAGGCAGGTCACCTGTGAGAAGGTGTCCCTCTGCAGCTCCGCAGAGGTGTGGGGGTGTCTCTCCAGCAATGCTTCTCTATATGAGTGTAGATCTAAGGCGGGTCACCTGTGAGAAGGTGTCCCCATGCTTGAGCTTCTTCTAGAATGGTGCACAGAAAAGAGGGACTTGCCAAGTACTTACAGGGGAGAGTCTACAATCCATATACCCAGTATTTAGAATTCTTATTGTGACGCTTAGTCTGCTGTAAATAAGGGGAAACCCAACCCAGTGGCAATTTGGGGGATCCTGGGCTCTTGCCAGTATGTCCCATGTCACCCCTAATGGCCATTTCGTATCACCAAGGACCATCATAGAATCATTCCACACAACAGGTGGCAGACACCACACAGACTCCCCAGGAAAGCCACTCCTGTAAGCTACCTTAGCTTTACAGACCCTAAATTATCATCCCTATTTCACTGAGAGGGAGAATGACCATGAGATTCCAGGGACAGAGTTGTGAGGCCATAACTACACTTTTAAGATGAGGAGGAAAGAGTATGGGACATTCTCAAGGGCACAGGACTAATTTGGGATGCAGAGTCTATGACTTCTGTGATGGGCCTCCCAGCATTCATTGCTCTATGCTGCCAGTTGAGGGAATAGATGTAAAGGAGAGTGTGGCATCTGCGTGGTGAGGGGATGGGAAGCCCAAGGAAGGGAAGGTGTCTACTCCAGCAGGGCAGTATGGCCTACCTGGCAACTCCCTGTCCTTGAAAGGGTCATCCATCTCGGCACTCTTGGCTCTGGCGTCACTCTCACAACTTGGCATCACATAGCTAGGAGGAGAGACAGAGAAAGAAGGTGGGATTGGTAACTGAGTCTTCTTTAGCCATTGCTGCCCAGGAACGATCTGTGTAATCACTATGCCGAGAGCCCTCCGGGAGGAAAATGAAGCAGTCCCTGAACTGTCCAGCAGCTACAAGACAATCAGCATAAATGCTCCCATTGAGACATGTTCAGGCATGTCATTTTAGCCACACAAGCGCGGTAAAAATGCCATCTCCAATCTGCACATAGGACCTCATGTTTACAAATAAGACTTCGTTCGTAACCTGGGCCGTACAATAAGCTTTTCATTAGGTAACTGAGGTCGAGAGAGATAAAGAGGTTTTCCAATGTCCACCGATAGAAAGAAACCGGTCTGTGATCAGAACCCAGGTCCTCAGGCACTTCTACCACACCCTCATCTGCTTTGGAATGGAGACCTCAGTCTCCTGGGACCTGACTTAAAAGAAGCAGGGCAGTGACAACAATGATGACACTATAACCAGGAGCTGGCCCCTGGGTGACACTCTGAGAAGAGGGCTTACCGTGTGGAAGTCCCGGGCAGCGGGCGCCCTGTGTCCACTAGGACACACCAGCAGTAACCCGTGGACTGGTGACACTGCACGGGTTTATAAAGCCCACCAGGGGCACACTCAGGGATCACAATGCCCTCACGGGGGTTCTGCCGGGCCTCTTCCAGGGCACTCTGCCTCTCCTGGTCACAAGAATGGACTTTCTCTGTAAGAGAAGATGCAGCTTCTGGTGATGGTTATGCCTCCTTCTGTCCAGGATCTGTAATAAATAGCCAGGACCAGGCCTGCCCCCAAGGAATGGATGAATCATCCCAGACAACCATGTCTTGCATGCTGCCAAGGTGAAAGCCCCAGAGGGCCAGAGCCTCCCTGTGGCCGCCTACACTGCCAGGGGCTCATCAGCACTTTCACCAAAGAGGTTCTCATGTAGCAACAAGCCAGCCAGGCCTTCAGGGATGCTTCTCCAAGCAGCAGTTTGCTCCGGAGCTGGAATGTTCCTCCATTTTCAGAGTTGTTCCTGTCCAGACACTGTCTATAGGCGTCAGGAGAAGCGGTAGGCAGACAGCCCTGCAAGGGGATGCTGGGATGCTGGGATGCCCATGAAGGGGGGATGCTCCCTAGTCCAGGCATAGCAGGACAGAACCACAACCACCATCCTTGTGCAGGGTGATCTTCTATACCCAAATGAGAGAACAACAAGAGCCAGCCCTGGCTCCTTTCACCCTCCAACATAGGTAGACAAAGAAAGAAAGCTAATGGGCAGATTCTTCCATCAGACGGGAGCAGAAACAGCGGAGGCAGAAGGGTGTCTGTAGTTGGTAGCTGCGGGACCATGTGAACATGTCCAAACAGCCAAACCAAGTCTCTCCAGAGCCAGGCCCAGACTCAGACAGCAACTGGGGCCCTATGCCAGGTGCAGCAACACCACAGAAGCCTCACTCCTGTAGGACCCTTCACTGGAAAACCCTGCCCACTAAAGTACCCTGGCTTCTCTTCCTGATTTCTCCTTTGTTTGCCTGGCAACTTTATTGCGGGTGGGGGGGGTGGGCAATGTTGTTTGATTTTAAAATTCTGTTTTTTTAACTATTTAGAAGATAAAATGTTGAGTTTGTTTCCTTACCACAAACAACACTGATGTGTACAAACCATATGGCCCCAAAGGTAATCCCCCACCATGTCCTTAGATCTTGTCAGGCAAACACCAATACAACTTCAAGGGGATTACACCAGAGGCTTGGGATAGCTCTCCCAGCTCCAATTTGGTAGCCTTGTTTTCCAACCTCATATTTCATGCCATGAAAGAGCTGACCAAGAAACAAAAGCAAAGGAAAACAGCTTTTATGGGCACCACGTTCTTGTAATGACCTCTGACAGGGGCTTTAAATCAAGACTCTCTAAGGCCAACCTCTCCAGCCATAAATCAGACCACGGCAAGATGCAAAGGGAGGAGAACACCTCCCCCTCCCAAGGCAGCAGGCATGATGAACCTAACTTCACATCAGTGGGCTTGAAAAAAGGGCAGACCTGTGACTTGGGCCTCGTGGATGGTTTTCTGGAAATTCTTAAAGGTTTACAGTCAGCTTCCATGGCCAATGAAGAATTAGGTCATAAAGAAAAGGAAGCTCTCAAATCTAGAAAAATACAGATTAGTCTGGAATCAAAGAGAAAACTAAATACAGAATTTATCACTTTAGCACCCACTCTGAAAATCTGGGTAACCTGTAAGGAAAATACAGGAATGACAGAGCAGGTGGGCTGGGGCAAGGGTTCAGTAGGTAAAGTGCCTGCCACACAAGCATGAGGACTTCAGTTCAAAACCCCAGCACCCATATAAAAGCCTGGGTGGGCTGGGTACCACAATTCTATAATCCCACCAATCAGTAGGACAGGACAGATACAGGAGGATCCCTGGAGCTCACTGGCCAGCCATCCCAGATGAGCTTCTTGTTCAGTGAGACAGATTGTCTCAAAAAAAAAAATAATAACGCAGAGAATAATCCAGAAAAACACCTGGCTTCAGTCTCTTGCCTTCACAATGAGGTATATACATGTGCACCCCACCCCAAATCTCTCTCTCTCTCCCTCTCTCTCTCACACACATACACACACACACATGTGAGCACACACACACACAGAGCACACACATACACACACATGCGCGCGTGTGCGCACACAGAGCACCAACCATTTGTGAAAAGTATGCAGTGTGTCTTCCAGAAAGGGGAAACAATCTCTTAAAACGGCTCTTGAGAACTAATGATACAGGCAAATCTCTTAAAATGGCTCTTGAGAACTAATGATACGGGCAAATACCCGTCTAGCCTCTTGGCCCACCTATTCTGGGAACTATTTTGACCCCAGCTTTGTAAACAAGAAGAACACAAACTCTACAGAGCACAAATTTTTCTCAACTTCACTCCAAGAATGAAGCTGGGACTCTGCTTGAGGACTGTGGACAATCCAGGCCACCTTGCTAGCCTCTAGCCACCTGCTCTTCCTCCAGGGCAGGCACCTGATGGACTCCCCAAAAGCTCCGTTCAAGAGCAAATGTGTTCACACACGCATCTCACAGAGGAAGGAGCTCTGCTGAATCAGAAGCGTGCCTCTCTGAAACACTTCATCTCTGCTCAGGAAAACTTGGGAAACAGAGAGGAGATGGGAGGGTATGGCCCGGTAACTATGAGAACGGGCCAGGGCTGTCTGCACATGCCTGGCAGACACAACCCACACCAGACAAGAGGGAGCATGGGGATAGTACCACAACCCTTGTACACTTCCACACAGCCCCTCCCAAACCTGCCCGAGATGATGCTGAGCAGTGAGAGGCTGGTCACTCCACCCAAATGAAACTGACTCAAAGAAGACACACAACAGAAAAGCATCTCATGTAGGGAATGCACATAGTCCTGGCCTTGCCATCAGAAGACACACAGTGTGTCTTTCCCTGGTCACACATGGTAGGGAAGATATTGGGACCACAGGAGAATAACAGTGAGCAAAGCTGGAGACAGGGCTGGGCGGGCCAGGATGAACAGAAACCCACCCTGTGTGTGGGCCCAGAGCCCAGGTCGTTATGTGTCAGCCAAGAGGGGATGAGCCTCGAAGACATCTCTGTCTGCTAGGACTGGCTCAGGTCTCTGTGTGTCATCATTACCCATGGTAATTAGGAGCAGAGGGGAGCGTGGATAACATAAAATCTCAGCTAATCCCCAATATTCACTGGAGTCCAGAGTTTATCCTCTCCTCCAAGACTCTTCTCCTTCTTCATCTTTTCTTTATTTTTACATAGTTTTAAAAGCCAAAATGATCAATAAAAAGACATCACAGGGTTTGGGCTGGTCTTCCTTTCAGGTTATTGACTTCCAGAGAAGGAAAATCTGAGAAAGGGGACAGAGGAGGAAGCTGAGGTCCCTGGGTGACCAACACGTAAGCACCTTTGAAAACCAAGTCATCAGTGACCAGTGGGCTGACCTCCCTGTGAGCTTTGCGGGGAGAGAAAAGGGAGACTTCAGGGTAGGGAAAGCAGAGAGGAGGCTGAGGGGGTTGTCAAAGAATGACTGTAACACCACACACACACACACACACACACACACACACACACACAATTAGAGGGAGATTTTAAGGACTAGGCTCATGAATTAGGAGGATGACAAATCAGTCAGGTAGAAATGCAGGTCAGCAGGATGAGGCGTCTTGAGTCCCAGATCATTAGGTCATGCCTACAAGTGTAAGACACAAAAACAGGGTTTCCACACGACAGTCTCCAGGCAGAATTCTTCTTCGGGAAACCCCAGTCTCTTCACTTAAATCTCAGAACCGATGGCATGAGGCTGGCCCATATTATGCAGGTTAATCTGCTCTAACTAAAAGCAACCGTGGGTGTTCAATGTCACAATAGCCAGTGCTCAGTCAAACATCAGGGTCAGGTTGCCCAGCCAAATGGACGTACTCAAAGAAGCAACTGAGGCGTCATGAGCCAGGGGTGGCGGCACACATGTGTAATCCCACCACGGGGCAGCGGAAGGAGGGATCAGGGGAAGAAAGGAAGAAAGATGGGGAGTTTGAAGCTAGGCTAGGCTACATCATGGGATCCTATCTCAAACAAAAGCTGTAGGCTGGAAGGGTGCCCTGGCCAAGGATACAGATAAAGACCTGTGGTTCTTTAGAGGAGCTACTTTGGCCATCTGGACAGAGTTGCTTATGTTCCTCGTGATAGGTAATAAAAGGCAGCAGGATACTAGCAAGGTTTGGGACAATGTCCTGAGAAGAGGACCCAATGCAAGATTCTGGTGACAAAAACATTCTAGGGCTCAAGAGTAGGTTAAAAAGAATTGCCGAGCACTTTTGTGGAATCCAAGCTATTAAATGGATACATGTGCACCTTAGTCTGGTAGCACATTAGGCCCTGCAAAGGCCAACGAAATTCTGAGAACTGTGGGCTCAATCAGGAAGAACTAACCATGAAGCGTCAGCCTGTCCGCATTCAAGGTCTTTCTCCGTTCCCGAGGCTATGAATGAGGGCTCTTCCCCCACCAACTCTAAGTGCTTAAGAGCTAGCTAGGGTCCATCATTCCTGTCTGGCCCACCACTTCGCCACCCCATCTCTGGTTTGCTCCTTGCTCAGAGATCCATGGAGTCTCACAGAGAAAGAATCCATGAAGGCTATTTAGTCTAAGAAATTTGTTCTGGCCAATCCTCCAGAGTCGAGGCCCACCCACGCAGAGCAAATGCCAGTTCGTTGGGTATGAGACTGCAGGGGCTAGAACAAGAAGAATCTGTGACCCCAACTCATCCTGGGAAATGCTACACTCAACCCTCAGACCATCGAGACTGGATTTCTTATGGGGATAAACATCAGTAAAGGGTGATTTAGCCCAAGAAAATGAGAGTAGTTTGCTATTTGATTGCAAAAAGAATCATTTTGCTGGGCCAAGAATATTAAGGAAAACACTGGCCTTGTGTCGACAACAGTGACCCTGAAACCTCTTCAAATACCTCCCGCCCATCTTGCCTCTTATCAAAAATGAATAAAATGCTGCACGATAACCCACAATAACAAACCGTACATTTCAAACCACCTTTCTAAATAACGACAAGAAATTCCAGGGGCATAAGGAATGGTGTGGCTCCCACCGCAGGTTTCTCCAGGTCTGAGAATACATGGATGTCTGGTCCTGGGGCCAGTGAGGATTTGGAGGAGAGGGC